CTGCAGTGTCTTGCCCCAGAGCCAACCGAGCGTCCGACAGCATACGAGCTCTCGACCATCGTCCGGCGCAACACAGTCGTGACCATGTAGCGACGCTGGTGACGATCGGCGACGCAATCTTTCAAATTGGAGAATTAACGTAATTTATGCGATTTATACGAGAAAAAGACGGGATTTCTGTGTCCCAAGATGCATCTGGTGCTCGGCGGTCATGTCCAGGAACGAACGAACAAAGATGCAAGCGAGGGACCGCTGACTGTTGATTCGCGTACAGTAGTCCTGACCATGAGCACAGTGAGTAGCATCACTGTCGCGTTCCTGCAGCCACTTTTTTTCGATATTTTCGATATTTCGGCAAAGCTATGGTCACCGCCAACGACGCCAAGACAGCGGCAGCGAGGTAGAGCGTAGAGGACGCTGTCCAGTATGACGGCGCGAGCCACTGCAGCGATCCTTGCAGCGATGCGCAGTGTAGGACTTGCGCAAGATGAGGTGGCGGTGTTGTGACATTTGGCGGTGGCTTTGGCCTGTTTATGGTCGGATTCAACCCTCTTTTTGTCACACTATGGGTGTCGGACTCGTCAAGACAGTTTTGAGATTGCCATTCCACCACAGCACCATGGTCACGGTCTCGTGCGCGTCCAACCTCGTGCTCTGCACGTCCTCGGACGGCAGCGTCTCGGACTGCTACAACCCGAATCACTTTGGCTGCTGCGCCGGGCGTACCTACTCGGTTAGCCTCAGCGGCCCGCGCCAGTACTGCTGCGTCGACCCCAAAACGTACGTCCAGACCGTCGCCGACGCGTGCCCGTCAACCGCACCCGTGGCAACGCTGCCGGGCTCGGCCACGCCGCTGCCGTCGACGAATGTATCGGCCGCAGCGTCCGGTGACAGCCCGACTTTATCGCCCAACGAGACGAGCGCGCCGCCAAAGGGCGCCCTCACGGGCAACGTAAGCTTTACGATCTCCAAGCAGGCGATTGCAGGTATCGCCGTCGGCAGCGTCGTCGTCGTTGCCATCATCCTCTATCTTCTGTGCCGGAAGCGGCGGAAGCAGCCCCGCGCCTCGTCCGGGTCGGTCGACCTCGCTCGGCCCATCAATTCGACCACCGCCCACACGTCCAACGGTACCGACCTCGGGTTGGACCTCACCGCACTCACGCGCTGGCGCATCGAGCAACAAGAGCTCGTTGGCAGCCGGACACTCGCCTCGGGCGCCTATGGCGAAGTGAGCCTCGGGTCGTTCCGCGGTACGACGGTCGCCATCAAGTCGTCGCTGCGCAAGAA